TCCTCTCCTCCTCCTCCTCCTTCTCCTCCTCCTCCTTCCACGCTCTCCTCCTCCTCCTCCTCCTCCCCCTCCTCCTTCTCCCTCCCCCTCCTTCCCTTCCTCCTCCCCCTCCTCCTTCTCGGCCCCGCTACCATGTCCGACAACAAAGAAAGACTCCCTCCCTCCCACCTCCCGCCACCAGCACATGAGGGAGGTACTTCCCCCAGGCAGGAAAGGTACTTCCCCCTAGCATGAAAGGTACTTCCCCCTAGCATGAAAGGTACTTCCCCCTAACATGAAAGGTACTTCCCCCTAACATGAAAGGTACTTCCCCCTAACATGAAAGGTACTTCCCCCTAACATGAAAGGTACTTCCCCCTAACATGAAAGGTACTTCCCCCAGGTATAAAAGCTATTTTAGTTACGCTAGTGGTTAACAGAGAAGGTCGTAAAGGCGAAAGTCCGTAAATTGTTTTTTTATGGAGACACGCAAAATAGGAGAGAGAGAAGGGGAGAGAGAAAGAGGGAGAGAGAGAGAGCGCGCGCGCGAGCGAGAGAGAGGGAGAGAGAGGAGAGAAAGAAAGCAAGAGTGAGATAGAATGAGAAAGAGAGAACGAGAGAGAGAGATAGAGAGACGAGAGAGAGAGAGCGAGAGAGAGAGAGAGCGAGAGAGCGAGAGAGCAGAGAGCGAGAGAGAGAGAGAGAGAGAGANCACACACACGCACGCACGCACGCACGCACGCATTACACACACACACACACACACACACACACACACACACAGTTTCCAGTGCCACCGTACCGCCACGGACAATGGCACATTCGCGGCTCGGTGTAACGATTAGAGCTTGTAGCGACTACTGCCCTAGTTCCCGCCGGCACCGACGCACCGACGACGTGTTTACAAATTATGCGCGAGGCTCACCTACGCAGTAGATGTGTGTGTGTGTGTGTGTGTTAAGAAGAGAGAGGGGAGGGGAGGGGGAGGGGAGAGAGAGAGGAGGGGGAGGGGGAGGGAGGTAGGGA